TTTTTTTTTTTTGTAGTTGTTATTGTTGTTTAACAGGCCAAGGCCAGGTTCAAACCCGCTAGCCCCCGTGTACGTGGCCAGCACCCTAACCACTGTGCTACAGGCACTGAGCCTTTTCTATTTTTAGAAGAGAGGGTCTCACTTTTGCTCAGGGTAGTCTTGAACTCTTGAGCTGAAGGGATCCTTCTACCTCGGCCTCTCAGAGGGCTGGGATTACAGGCATAAGCCACCATGACTGTCCCCAAATTAATTTTTTTAAAAAAACACTTCATACTGGCTCAGTGCTTGTAGCACAGTGGTTATGGCACCAACCACATACACCGAGGGTGGTGGGTTTGAACCCAGCCTGGGCCAGGTAAGCAACAATAACTGCAACATAAAAATAGCTGGGCACTGTGGCGGGTGCCTGTAGTCCCAGCACTTGGGAGGCTAAGGCAAGAGAATTGCTTAAGCCCAAGAGTTAGAGGTTGCTGTGAGCTGTGACGCCATGGCAGTCTACAGAGGGCAACATAATGAGACTCTGTCTCAAAAAAAAAAAAAACATTTCATCCTAGCTTTGTATTGGTCACGGTTTCTGTGGGTTCCACAAGAGGAGCTCTTGTAGATCTTGTAGGGCCCTCAGATCACCTAGATTTGTACTCAGCTTTAAAAGAGAGTTAGGAAAGTGCCTGTCTGTAGACCTGTGGCTAACAAGCTGCTTCTCGACCTGTTGTCTTGCTTGTTTCCTAGCAGCTAGTTATAGAAATGAGCTCTTGGGCTCGGTGCCTGTGGCTAAAGTGGCTAAGGTGCCAGCCACATACACCTGAGCTGGCAGGTTCGAGTCCAGCCCGAGCCTGCCAAACAACAATGACGGCAACAACCAAAAAATAACCAGGCATTGTGGCAGGCACCTGTAGTCCCAGCTACTTGGGAGGCAGAGGCAGGAGAATCGCTTAAGCCCAGGAGTTGGAGGTTGTTGTGAGCTGTGATGCCACGGCACTCTATCCAGGGGGACAGCTTGAGGCTCTGTCTCAAAAACAAAACAAAAAAAAAAATAGCTCTTGGGCAGGAACAGTAAGTAGGATGATCTACACTCCTTAGTGAGGCTTCCTGTTCTGGGAACCTTAGAGGACCAAACTAACTTAGGAATAGGAGCAAAAGAACCCATCTCGTCAGAGTGTTTTGAGTTTAGAAGGTATAAGGGGCAGGGCATATAGTTTGAAAAAGCCTGTTCAATTTTAGTACATGTGCTGTGAAAGTGAGCATAAAAAAGCCTATTCAGTATAAATGTCCTTATTGTTTCTATAATGAAATCTGTAAGAAGTGTGGCTTGATCAAATCTTTTTTGGCTAGGGCAAGTATGCAGAAGAGTGTAAATGCATTGTAGAGGGAAATGGGCTAAGAAAGCATCAAACTGAATTGTTCTTTTTTTTTTTTTTTTTTGAGACAGAGCCTCAAGCTATCCCCCTGGGTAG